GACCGTACCGTGGGGAATCAAACAGAGCAGGCCTCTCTCCCCATACTGATTTCATTTCCTTTGGATGTATACTCAAAAGTGAGACTCCAAGATTTTTCATATTGAAAATTTCTTTCTAAGTTATTACAGGGTTTTGTTAAAACAAATTTCGAAAATGGCTTCCGCTTGACGTGTATCTTTTCTCATGATGGGCAGACTAGTTTTCAATGCCCTCGGGGTCCACGGGCGCATTTGTCTCCGCGTCATGCCCGGCACTCCTCTCGATGACACCCTGCACACCAAGCAGCCCTTGCAGCTCTGAGCCAGGCCTCGGTCCACACCTCGTCTGCTCACATTTGGCAGAATGAAGCCTCTAGGCTGTGCGTTAGTCCAGCAGAAATTGAATGCCTAGGGACATTCGATTTACCCAGAAGTTCTCCCCTTTGCTTGAGCGTCTCATGCGCATGCTCTTCAGGGGCTCGCCTGGGATAGCCTTGGACTCAACAGGTCTCCCTCTACCTCACCCCCTCACTGACATTTGCTGTAGTCCGTAGCCGCATTTCTGCCCCTCCTCCGACGCACATTTCGGGCACACAGGCACAGGTTTGGGGAAATACACAAATGAGCCCAGCAGCCAGCCAGTGGGATGGTCACCAGTTGAATGCAATGCCGGTCTACTGTACGGTGCTAAAGAGAAGTAAGACGTGGACACCGCGCAACTCACGCTCCGGAGTTCATAGAACCCGGGGCCAATCGGACCTTCTAGGAAAAGTGCTCTGCCACCTGTTTTAAGAAATCAGTGTCATCGGGAACATCACCACACCCTTGCCTTCCCGACTTTCCCGCCCGGGGCTCCATTTCTACCGCCATGGCAGGACCCAGGAGTTGCCACCCAGATTGCCAGTGGGGACAAGAGAGCCTCAAAGATTCTGTGGCCCTTCCCTCTAAAAGTGGGCTTCCCTCTGCTGGGTCACACACACACACACACACACACACACAGACACACACACACACACACACACACAAAGACACGTTGAAATCTTGAAGCCAATGGACCTGGGCCATCTCAGAGCACACCACCAAATACTGTACATTCTTTCAAATACACATGCAACGCACAGCATGTTTCGTCTCTGGTCTCCCCTCAGGAACAGGGCTCAGAGAGTAGTGGAGAAGGAGCTGCGGGGGTGGAGAAATCACGCCAACCAACCACCCGGAGCTGCCTAATTGAGTCAAGTCTTGCTTGCAGGTAGGGTGTGGGCACGGCCAAGGACACTGGGAAAACACAGCAGGGGGCGGAGGGCCTTATAAAATCCCATACCGGCTAGCCACCCGGCCATTTCCCAGTGGAGTCCTCCTGCAGAAGCACACGAAAACGTTTTCTCCAGGTGGAACCTGCCCATTGAAGAGAAGGCAGAAGACACAAGTCCCAGTGTAGACGGAGGAAGGAACAAGTCAGTAGCTCCAACTCCTTCCCTACCTAGGCAGTAGGGAGACGGGGGAAGATGGAAGTCCATAAGACCCCAGAGCACTCTGACAGAGGACCAGGTAGGGCACAGACTCCCCTTTGCCCAGACAGGTCTGGAGACATGAGCCTGTGGGCCAGGGAGGCTGGAGGGACGGGTGCGAGATGAGACAGGGGGCACCAGGCCCAGGCTCCAGTCAATGTGCCCCAGCACTGCTAAGGTGCTGGGGGAAACCAGGTTCCTTGTGGTGGTGACCCAGCCAGCGGAGCCACGCTGAGGGTGTGGAGCTGAGGGAGTGTTTGCCTGAGCTAGCCAGGCAGCTCCCAGTCGACCCCAGGCACCAGAAAGCCTGGACGCTGGGGCTCTGGGGGCAAGTGAAGAGAGAAGGGTATCTGGGGGCAGAGCCATTCCTGACTTGAAGTCACTCCCGGAGGCTGGCTTTATGAATTCTGCCCCAAAAGTCGAGGGATGGGCCAGGGGGCACTCGCTCCTGATCTCCTGTGTACCCGCAGGTGTCAGCCGGCACAGCCAGGTGGCCAGGGAGCCCGGTCCCAAGAGGCACAGAAGGCGGGACGGCTCCTCTGGGAGTGCACACAGACACAAGGAGCGGTGTACGGGGAAGACCTGGGAGCCACCACCCCCTGCCCATGGCACAGAAGAGAAGCCTGATTCCAGAAGAGCAGGAGGTCGGCCCAGAGGAGGCAGGTTTCCAGGCTGGGGATACAGGGAGGTGGGTGGTGGGAACAGGGCCTGGGTGAGGGAGCTCCTTTTCTCTCAAGGTGAGAAGGGCTGAGAGGGAGGCCCCCTGGAGTTGGCGCCCGGTTCCAGTGGAGACAGGAAGGGGTCCTGACGTCGGGGTGTGGAGGCCAGTACCAGAAGGGTGGGGGGTGGACGGTGGGGCCAAGTGGGTGGCAGCATGGGGTGGGCGGGGAGACCTCAGAAAGAGGCCCTGACAGTGGGCCCCCTCCATCTTGCTGCCCCCACAGGTGCCGGCCACAAAACAGGGCGTGCCACCGAGAGAGAGACCTGGGGGAGACCTCCAGCGAGGAGTGGCGGTCGGGGTCGCCGGCCTGACGTGCCTGAGGATCGGCCCACCTCCCCGAAGCGCCGCCGCCACCTGTCCCCACAGGCCCGAGTGTCCGGGCCCAGCCCGCTGTCCCGCGTCCTCAACCACGTGGGCGGGCTAGAGGTGCTTCTGGCTGAGCTTCGGGCCCCCGGGGGCGCCTTCCTGCCCAGCTCGGGCGGCCACGGCACACAGCCCAGCGCCGGGCAGCGCGCCTGGCTCACCTGGCAGCTGACCCACTCCGGGGCCGCCCTGCACTGGGCGCTGGCAACGCTGCACGCCCTGCTGGCGCCCCTGCCCCGGCACGCCGGCCCCCCGGCCTACCAGCCGGCTCCCGGCTGGCCGTGGGGTGGGGGGTGGGGGGCTCCAGGCGACAGCACCCTGGCCTGGTCGCACGCCCATGTACCTGAGGCCCGGAGATGACTCCCACCCTGCGCTGCACACCCGCCTCGCGCTGGCCGCCCCCACGGCACCTCGCCCAGCGAAGACCGAGCCTCCCGCGCACGCCAGAAAGAAGCGTGTGCCCACCGAGCCCAGCACTCGAGCACCAGAGGTTCCCCAGCCCTGCTGCTGCCCGCATCCTCCCCACCACGGG